TGTCTGTAGCTTGACCAATAATTGCTCATGAGCTTTCGTATTGCCCATATACTGTCATCTAGCTGATATACTGTTCGAACTCTTTTTTTTGTTTTTTTTTAAAGCTCAAAAGCTTATAGAAAAAACTTTTTATTGTGTTATTAGCATGTGTATATAGTGACAGCCGGGAAAAATCGCGCCACTCGACCGCCTTTCGCTGTATGCCGTTTGAACTTGAGCCAAATGAAAATTGTGATGTTTCTTTTGAATTAGTTTTCTTCCAATTTCTTCCTTGTTTTTCCATTTTTTTCTACTTCTGTCACGAACAGAAGAATAAGGTGAGGAGTCCCTAGTTATCCGCCAATCACTCATTTGAAGCATTTTTATCCATTAAATGGCAATTAAAAATGTTTGAAATGACTAGCACTAGTTCCGTCCCAAGCATGCATTAATGTCAAATTTGGTTGCATGAACTTAGATATACGTGCACGTGTAAACATCGTGAATCTAAGGACTCAAAAAAACAAAAAAGACTGATCCAAAAATTCTTCGTTCTCCCAACAGAAAAGCACAATTATAATTTGGCTCGAGGCCAAACGGCCCACAGATCTTAGGCGCCTAAGCCCGCGTGCGAAGCGGTCGTGATAACCTGGACTTTCACAATCCTTAAAGGGCCTATAGTTCCGAATGAGGCTGCATAAGAGGTTGATATGTTTTGGATAACGAATATTTTACATAAAGTATCAAGACATTTTTCCACCACTGAAAAGTAGGTAAGTTGAAAGATTATGTGAGTGTTTCAGCTAAGGAGAAAAGTGCGTACGACAACGATGAACTGGAAGAGAACGCTGGAAATCTCATAAAAACCCGAGTGAAGAGACCTGCTAATTTGACTTACAAAAAAGTTCGCTCACCCGAACCAGCACGGCTACAAGTGCAACGGACACAACGATGCAGCGAAACGTTACCTTCTAGTAAACTAAAGTTATCAAGAACTTTACCGAGTCAACCGAAGTCGGAAAGGAGAGATTCAAGTAAAAGTATAAGGACTGCACGCTGTCCGGTAAAAATTAGCGCGTTTATGGCATTGGAGCAACCCGCAGTCAACTTATCATGCAAATTACCGGAGTCTCAACCAGGATCACCGCCACATACTGCTAAAGCAGCGTCACCACAGCAATCTAACAAGCAGACATCGCAGAAAGTGCTTAAGAAACAGGAGCAGAAAAGTCAAAAACTGCAGACAAAGTCTCAGCAGCCGTCTAATCAGCTGTTACCTCAACCAGTCCAAACTGCACCTTTGAAAAGGGCAGTTGAACAGCTTGGCCAACCGAAACAGGAAAAATGTGTCCAAACGACACCGACAGCGCTTGAGTCTAAAAAGGCGGAGTTGCTATCACCAAAGCAGCCACATGTTGATCGACCACCACAGCAGAAACCTATTACGCCACAGTTAAACTTTTCTGCTCAGCCAGTCATGAAGCAAACAGTCCAAGCAGCAGTGCTGTCACAACGTGCATCTGAATCTGTGCTACAACCTCTTGATAAATTAAGTTCAAATTTTGACCTAGGAAAGACGAAAAACAAATCGGATGCAAAAATGGCAGGGAAAACATCTGCTTCCCCAAATGTTTCGAAGTTCCCGATCTCAAAAACGATACCGGAAAAGCAATGTTCAGGGAAACAAATTACAAAGGGGGCATCTATGGGAGCTACAGAGAGAGAAGAGCAGAAAAAATCAAAAGAAATTTATTAATTCATCATTGTTTTCTAATATTATTCATCAACCACAAAGTTTCGATTTAGTTATAGTCTCCATCTGTACAACAACGAATAAATTTATTAATTTTCACCCTCCATTCACATGTCAAAAAAAGCTATTGCTGTCTCTCGCCTCTCATTTTCCACAGCGAAAAATTATGTACTCATATGCAAAGCATGTTCAAGTCAGAACTTTGATCAGTGGTGCTAACGTTTTGAAGCCAACAGTTAACGTTCGACCTGACCTCTTTGAAAGGTTTTCTAGAAATTTGAGTATGAAGATAGATTTTGTCGGGTCCGCAAAAGGCACTTTATTTCTACCTAGTATAAAGTTCGTCCAGGGCGTAGCCCACAGAGACCTCTAAAACTGAATTAAGTGTAGCTCAGCCGTGATGCAGCAAATCCGCACCTCAAATGATAACGCAGGTCTGGATATCATGAAAGTGCGGGTAACCATCGTTGATTCCATCACTCTTTTTGGACTTTCGATGAACTTTTTTGACGCGCCGCTTTCGCACATTGAGGTGTTCCAGTTGGTTTTACATTCTGCCTTATTTCACCAAACTTCGTGCATGATTCGCTGTTGCTGGAACTCCTAAATGAGATGAAAAACCCAATTTCGTTCACCTGTTGTCCCTATTCCCATTTTCGACTTCCGCGCTTCATTAGTGCTGCGAGAATCTTTTTGTCCGCAAAAGCAACTCTGTAAGGATGAGAGTGCAAATTTAAATTATGCAGTGTTTTATGTGTAGTTTTTGTAAAGTCCGCGTAGTTTACATAATTTCTCGCCCCATTTAAAATGTGCGGAAAATGTAACAAGTGTTATAAATCAACCGATACTGTTCTAAAAGGTGGATAAATGAAATAAAGAAGTTGATGGAGCGCATTTTTTAAATGATTTGAAGGTCGATTTACAACAGCCAACTTACATGGGACTATGTGGCGATCAAGCTTTGCGCTATAACTTTCTAAGTTTTGAATATTATTGTGAGGTCACAAAGGTCAGCTTCATATTCTGTGCTTGGAAATATTAAGATAATGCAAATTATTGCATTATCTTAATATTTCCAAGCACA